GGACTACAAGAGACTGAACTGTATCTGCCTCTATTTCCAACAGACTCACGTTCAACTTTCGCTCACGAAAATAGCCGGGAAAATTTTATTAGTCCTTTTTTTAAAAAAAGTTAATATAAAATTATAGCAAAAAAAAAAAAAAAGGAACCTGAACTTTAGTAACACAGCTGGAACAATCCGCAGCGGCGGCAGGAGCGGCGGGAGAAGAGATTTAATTTAGTTGATTTTCTGTGGTTGTTGGTTGTTCGCTAGTCTCACGGTGATGGAAGCTGCACATTTTTTCGAAGGGACCGAGAAACTGCTGGAGGTCTGGTTTTCCAGACAGCAGTCCGACGCAAGCCAGGGATCTGGGGATCTTCGTACCATCCCAAGGTGGGTGCCGGGGCCGGAGGGTGGCTCGCCGCCGCCTGCGAGGCACGAGTCGGGGCCTCAGGTGGGGCCCGGTCGGCGGGCGGGAACTGGCTTCTCCCGCCGCCGTTGCGGGGCCTCCTGCGCCTGGGGGAGGGGAGGAGGCCGGCGCGGCCGCGTGCTCAGGTAACGTCCCCGGCGGACAGCGGGGCCGGGCGCACGGGCCCCGGCGCGGGGCGCGCGGCCCTCCGGCAGGTGTGGCTCGGTCCGGCGTGCCCGTGCGGGTGAGGGGCGGGCGGAGCACGAGCTGGGCGGGCCCCGGGGCGACGAGCAGGCCTCCCGCCGTGGGGTGGGCGGCCGCGCGTGGCCCTCGCTCGGGCGGCGGGATTGGGCGGGAGCGGCCGTGTCGCAGTGGCGGGCCCCGCCGACGTGCCCTGCAGCAGAGCGCCTCGGGACCCTCCGCGGGCTTTGCCCCGGAGGCTCCTGACCTTGGGCTGTGTGTAACCTGTTACGGAGGCGAGGTCCGGGAGAACCCGGCGGAGGGTTTGCCTGCTTTCCCCTCAGCCGGTCAGCCCGGAGACCTATTTTATTTAATGCCTTAAGCTGGAGCAAAGGAAACCTGGGGCCTCCCGCACACGCCCGGGCGATCACACGCGACACGGGACGCGGTGCGGAGAGCTGTTGGTGACCTCGCGGTGAGAATCGAGCATAGAAGCGCGGGTGACACTGAGGATGCATAGACCCGGCGGCGGTGACACCGGGCGCCAGGCCGGTACGCGGGCTCCGCCGGGCTCCGAGGCGCACTAATGCGACTAGAGTGGCGGAGGAACCGGCGTGGTCCGGTTCATTGAGAGGCGGACCAATGAGCTCCTGGGCTCCTCGGGAGCCTGGCCCCAGGGTGTGGACCAATGGGCGTTTTCGGAATGTTGGGCTGCGCGGTGCAACCGTCCTCTGACAAAAAGCGAGAAGAGAATCCCGGCGGCCACGTGCTGCCGAGACTTTAAGGCACACTGGGAAACGCAGTTCCTACTAGTTGTTGCAAACGTTTCCATTGTAGGGGAAAAAAAAATGTAACCGAAGTGCTAAGGTCTCAGTTTTCGATCCTCGTGTGAAGCGTGTGCCATTTGCAGTTGCAAAACACTTCTCAGTTTTCTCATAGCAAGCCTAGAGACCCTTACTCTTTTACAAATGGAAAGCTGATTGTGATGGGCTTCTCGAAAAGCCAGTGCCTTCAGGATTACTTCGTAGAAAGTCTTGGTACAAACTGAAAGAGGAGTGCGATAGGATATTACAACATCTTTGATAAAGGGAAGATTATCGTTCTCAACTTAGTTGGAAATGCCCGAGTGGGATTCTAGAAATGACTCAGGTTAAGAGCACTGGATGGTCCAGGGGACCCCATTTAATTCCCAGCACCCACATAGCAGCTTTACAACCATCTGTTACTCCGATTCCGGGGAATCTGACCCCCTCTTCTGACTCCTGAGTGCACTGCACACCTGTGGGGCACATACATGTAGGCAAAACACCTAAAGTAATTTTTTTTAAAGTAATATGTGTTAATGCCAACGTATATTAACACTTGATTAAAGTGGCTCCAGAGTAGTGGAAGGATTTTTTTTTTCCTCTCGAGACAGGATTTCTCCTGTAGCCCAGGCTGTCCTGGAACTCACTCTGTAGACCAGGCTGGCCTCGAACTCAGAAATCCGCCTGCCTCTGCCTCCCAAGTGCTGGGATTAAAGGCGTGCGCCACCACTGCCGGGCGGGCTTTTTTAAAGGTAGGCTACTTTATTTTATTTTTTTTTCCCTACACAGGATTTCTTTCTGTAGCCCTGGCTGACCTGATCCACCTGCCTCTGCCACCGATCTGTGCTTTGTTTAAATATTTGAAAACCATCTTTGCTTCGTGTGTGTGTGTGAGTGTGTAACCAGAAACTGATTTTTTTTTCCTGTTTCAATGTGACTGCTATATATCAAGTAGTTGAATTCAATGCTTTTTCAGTGACCAATCCAGCTGAGGGGGCACTGGTTCTGAGGTTTTAAAGAACTGCCTGAGAAACAGCGGGTGGATAAATCACCTAGTTAGTGGGTAGCAGAGAGGTTTGTAGGAGACCTGCGTCTTTTCTGAAATGGAAAGGATAACCATGGGTTAATAAATAGGATGAAATAAACTTATATTTACAGTAGTTTAAGGTATTGACAGTTTTTTATTCTATTCCTTTTTGTGCCAAGGTTGAGGAAGAAAACCATAATAAAAAATGCTAGCTGAGTGTTAAAGCTGTCAAGAAGCAATTTTATGTAGTTAAACAAGCTTTCAGGGTTTTGGTGTTTTGAGACAGTTTTTCTATGTAGCATTGTCTGGCCCGGAAATCACTATGTAGACCAGGTTGGTCTTGGAACTCATTAACTTTGTTGTATTGTGTAATATTTGAAAATCATTGAAGAAGTCCTTCCATGTCATTGCTGAGAATACTGCCGTCAGTAACTACAGAAATGTGAGCAGACTAAAAGCTGGAGTTCAGACAGGTGGGCAGTTAGAGAAGCTGTGTTTGAAACATTGAACACAGTCCTACAGAAAGAGTCAGAGGGTAACTAGAAATGGGAGTGCTTTTCACATCTTCACAAGAAGCAGGGGAGTGCCTTAAACACAGTTACCAGGCCTGATAGTTTTAACATCTAATTAATTGGTTAAAACAACTTGAATTTTAATGGCAGTTTTGTGATAGCCCCCAAACTGTAGACCTACTAAAGAGGGAGGTTGTTAGGAGTCGGTGGCACACACATCCTGGCACTGGGCAGGCAGAGGCTATGCTGCTCTACAAGTGAGTTTCAAGCCAGTCAGGTGCTACATAGTGAGATCCTGAACCAAAAAATTAAATAAAAAACAAGTGGGTAGTTGTATAACCATATAACAGAATGCTACCCAGCAATAATTGACCCACTGTTCTGTGAGCCCCCCCCAACACACACACACACACACACACACACACACGAAGACTAATGTAAAGAAGCCTGACAAGCATACGTGCTGTAAGATTTCATGTCTGTGGAACTGGGAAATGCAGGCTAATCTGACAAGACTGGGCCGTCTGGATTAGAGGCCTTCTAAAGGGAGAGTGGATTATAAGGGAGCACGAAGGGCCTCTTACGAATGCAGTGCTGCGAGTTATGTGTGGCCAAGCTCTTAATCCCCGCATTGGCGAGGCAGAAGCCTTGTCTGCATAAGCAAGATCCAGGCTGAGGCTGTGGGAGCACTAGAGCACCATGCAGATTCACATTTGGGGCCGAGTTGTAAGTCTGGCAAGAACCAGGGGTGAAGGTGCTTGATGAACAAGCCTAGAAAGCTGAGTTTCATCCCCAAAATAAGCCCCCATAAAGCTGGGAAAACGCCTCCCAAGAGTTGTCATGTGACCTCCACAAGTGCATCTTGGTGGCTCGCCCTTTGACCCTGGAGCTCAGAGGCAGTGGAGCTCAATGACTTGAAACTTGCCTGGTCTACAGAGCCAAAAGAATTCCATCTTGTGTCTATTTGGAGGTGCTCTTGTACAAAATAACTTGGACTTTGGATTCACTTTCTTTCATTTAGTTTAGGTTTTGAGGTGGTAGCCAGTCTCCTGAGATTTCAGGCTTGTCCCCCTGAGTGCTAGTGGTTGGTACTCACCTGTAATCCCAACAGGAGACCAAGTCAATAGGATTTCAGGGGCTTTATGGTTAGTCTAGGCAAGAGCAAGACCCTGTCTCAAACCTAGGGCTGGGGAGGTAGGCCACCGTTGGTCAAGTGCTGGGACTTGAACTGGATCCCTTGAACACTGAGCAGAACCCTTGTGACATTTTAAGTTTGTACGCGTAACCCTGGCAGGGACAGGTAATGAGATGGGCTGGTTAATGAGCCCTGTTGGAAGGGAGCTGCACACGCTCCTCAGTTGTCAGCGGCTGTTGCAAGCATACCAGTGTGCACACATTCTTTGTTTGTTATGCCCTATTTTAAATATCTTTGCTAATCTCAGAGTTTGGAAGGTGTTTTCTCCTGAAAGTTTTACATTTTATATTTAGATATGGAATTAGATAAATGATTTTTGTGTGTGGCATTGGGGACTAGAAATGGGCCCGTCTTTCTAAGCCAAGACAAAGTTCAAAAAATACTGAAATTAGCCTGTGAGAGTACTTCTCCCCTCTGAGTAGAGTGTTGGTTATATATACTTCATCTTAGGACATAACCTAAGCACATTTGGGAGATTTCTTCTCAAGGGAAAGGAGCACATGAGGCTTTGATTGCTGTATTGTTTTGTTATTATTTGAGGGTATGCACTTGAATTTGTGTTGTAGAGATCAGGAGAGGATATCCGATCCCATGGAACTGGAGTTGCAGGCAGGTATGAGCTGCCTGATGTGGGTGTTAAGGCCTGAGTTCCATTTATTTATTTAGAGGCAGGATCTTTCTACATAGTCCTGGTTGTCTGTCCTGGAGCTCTGATTTATATAGATAAACCAGGTTGGCCTTTGAGGTCTTGCTTCTGTTTCCTGAATGCCAGGACTAAGGGTGGGTGCCACCAGGTCCAACTCTTTTTTTTTGTTTGTTTGTTTGTTTTTGTTTTTCGAGTCAGGGTTTCTCTGTGTAGCCCTGGCTGTCCTGGAACTCACTCTGTAGACCAGGCTGGCCTCGAACTCAGAAATGCACCTGCCTCTGCCTCCCAAGTGCTGGGATTAAAGGCGTGTGCTACCACTGCCCAGACTTTTTTTTTTTTTTTTTCAGCCAACCCCTTTAATAAAGGAAAATCTCGGTTGATGCAGCTTGGTGCTAAAGGGATGAGTGGTGTGTGTTGGGGGCTTTAGAGTCCACTTAACCTCGTGGGATAGGTTTGAAGTTGGCATTAAAAGAAGCATAGTTTCTTAGGGTTAGATGTCATCACAGGGAGCCAGACACAAGTGGATGTCCAGTTGGGGGGGCCAGCTGGTCTATAGACCAACTCTTAGGGCTACACAGTGAAAACCTGTTCCCCCCCCCAAAAAAAATGTTTCTAATTATAAGATCTTTTTGCTTTACAGTTCATGAGACTGATCTATTCTTAGGAGTGAGGTGAAGTTAGGTGGGAAATTCCAGCGGCAATAAAGACGATAAATGCATTATTTGAAAAACATTAGACGTTAAATTGATGGTAGAAATAACATGTAGAATTGGTAGATATTCTTAGCCTGCTTTAGGAACGTTATAAGCAAAATAAAAATTTGAGTTTTGTTGTTGTTAAAGATCATACATGAGGCATGACACTTTCTGAACTGGTTGATTTGACGACTGTTGCACAGTGTTGGAGTTACAGTGTATTGCCAGCAAACCTTGTGAGTTTCCCACCGCAGCTGTTTTGTTGGGCATATTGCACATATGCAAGTGTGTTGCAGCTTCCTGTGGGGCAGAGGGCAGCTAACAGAACTCAGTTCTTTCCATCTTTTTTTCTTCTTTGGTTCTGGGGGTCAAACTCGGGTGCTATAATCAACACTGCGTCATCTTGTAGACCCCAAATTACCTTTCTTTAAGAAGCATACACGGAGCATACTAGCAGCAATAGAGAAAATAGTACAGATAAACTGGGGACAAGTTTGGTTTAGCTGCTTGTGTGCATGCATACAGGTGCCCTTGGAGGCCAGAAGAGAACATCGGATGTCCTGGAAGCAGCCATGATACTATCCGTCCAGTTACTTTTGACTCAAGAACTACCTTGAGTTATGGTTAGGTGATCTGAGTATAATGACTCTCGGAAACAGACCTTAGTCAGGCTTTGTGCTCACTAATTTGGTAGCTTCAGTTGACTTTTAAACAGTGAGTAAGTAAACTGATTAAAGTCTGTGGACAGCTCCAGCTCAGCTGGATCAGGCAGTCCGTGTGCTGTCATTACCAACCTTTCAGGTGAGTGGGGTGTAGCCCTAGTCTTGTGTCTGGTTTCATCCTGTCTGCCTCCTAGTACTGTTCTGATTTATTTCTTCTTGTGTAGGCTTTGTATGAATGTCTGGCTTACTTACTTGTGCAATATAAAGATGATAGAGACCCGTGATGTGGTAGAGCAAGGAAGAAAGGTCTGGATGTGTACAGTGTGTGCTTGATGTTTGCAGATGTGCTCAGTCAGTCCCTCGGCCCCAACAACCTTTAACGTGTTTGTTTCATGTATGAGTGTTCTGCCTGCATACATATATTTGTGTACCACTGAAACTGGAATTCCAGTTAATAGGTTTCAATGTGGGAAATGGGGATCAAACCCAGGTCCTTTTGTACCTTTTTAGCAATGTGGACTTAGGTGAAATGGTAAGAGTATTTGACTGCGCAATGCTAACGTGTCCTTGGTTCATGTATTTGTAGCATTTGGTGGGATTTTCTTTTTCTAAGCTGCTAAAAGTTCTGGGATACAGTGTTCTTCTAAACCTTAGGAGGGGGTGTTGTGCTTTCTATGTGGTTTTCTATAATTGCTGCTCATTTCTACTCTGGGGTGGGTACTGAGTATCATCTTGAGGTTGGTGCTGGCCTGTAGCTAGCTGCCTTAGCCTCTCCAGTGCTGGGTTATAAGCATGTTCACAGGCGCTAAGTACAGTGCCTGGCTTTGCCTGTACTGTCCAGTCCTAAGAGACAACTTTATTGTTTCCTCTATCTTAGCAACCCAGCAGCTTCTTCTCAAGTGACAGTGATGCTCAACATGGTCAGCATTTCTTTCTGTCGTGGAATGAAGGGAAGCAGGTGCTTACAATCAGGTCAAACAGTTGACTCACCAACTAAATGATTGTGAAGGCTCACTCACTTATGGCCAGAAGCTCAAAAAGAAAAGACCCATACATCTAAAGGCAGTGCTGTGCGTGTGGGCACAGCATGATGATGCATGACTCAATCCCAGCACTTGGGAGGCAGAGACAAGTGAAGTGAAGGACATCCAAGGCTACATGAGAGAGACACTGTCTCAAACAAACAAAAACCAAGGATTGAAACAGTTGACTAACAGTTGACTATCCAGCACATTTCTGTAGACTGCATGTGTGTGTGTGTGTGTGTGTGTGTGTGTGTGTGTGTGTGTGTGTGTGTGTGTGTGTGAAGCCTTATTAGAACCTACAGTGGTCTGTTAATGTATAACGGCTATGGTTATTTTTGTCTGTTAATAGCAAAACTGAGCCGGGCAGTGGTGGCGCACGCCTTTAATCCCAGCACTTGGGAGGCAGAGGCAGGCGGATTTCTGAGTTCAAGGCCAGCCTGGTCTACAGAGTGAGTTTCAGGACAGCCAGGGCTATGCAGAGAAACCCTGTCTCGAAAAACCATAAAAGCAAAACTGAGTAGTTTAAGAACAGATTTATCTGCCTTGGAACAATGAGTCTAGCATTAGCTGAGGCAGACTTATGGGAAAGCTTTATTGCTGATGTTGATAATAAAGGGAGAGATTGCCTGCCTGTAGTAACTGGTCTTGATATTACAGATGTTAAACATAGCATTGAAATTAAGATCACATGCTAGTTTAGTGGTTGGGTCAGTGGTTTGTTTTTTTTGTTTGGTTTTTCGAGACAGGGTTTGTCTGTGTAGCCCTGGCTGTCCTGGAACTCACTCTGTAGACCAGGCTAGCCTCGAACTCTCGAACTTAGAAATCCGCCTGCCTCTGCCTCTCAAGTGCTGGGATTAAAGGCGTGCGCCAGCACCGCCCGGCTGGGTCAGTGTTTTTTACTTGGGACAGTTGCTACTGAGGAGATACTTGGCAACATTTGGAGAGTTTTTTTATTAACATACTCTAAGGTGCTGCTTCTAGCATGTAAGTAGATAAGGCCAAGGATGTTTGTACCACGTGTGAAGGCCTCAGAACCCAACAAGGAAGTCTATGGGTTAGAAGTGACTGTTGGTTTGAGATGCTGAGAAGCCAGCTGGCGGTGGCAGCTCACAACCGTCTGTAGCTTCAGTTCCTAAGGATCTCATACCCTGTTTTGGCCACTGGGCACTACATGCATGTTGTGCATAGACACATGCAGAAAGAGGGAAATGGCCAGTGTGGTGGCACATTCTTCTTAAATCACAGTGCTCAGGAGTCGGAGATGGAGGCCAGCCTGTGTACATAATGCATACCCAGTGCAGTCCTGTCTCAAAAAACAAACAAACAAATGGAGTAAATGGTCTTAGTTACTGTGTCACATTCTCTGTTTAATACCTGTCTTAAGAGACTAGAAATATAACTTGGGGTAGAGTGCTTGCCTGTCATTTGGACCGGGGTTCAATCTCTAGCATATTGGGACAAAAGTTTTCTTGAAAAGGATAAAGTGTGATAGAAATAGCACTTTAATAATTGTATTTTTTGTTGGGTAACAGATCTGAGTGGGATGTCCTTTTGAAGGATGTGCAGTGCTCAATCATAAGTGTGACAAAGACTGACAAGCAGGAAGCTTATGTACTCAGGTAAGTGCCATGAAGTGTAATATTGAGTTGCCGTCCTGACCACAGCCTTCGTGAGATAACATGAGATACCACGTCCTTCTCACTGGAATCCTTGCTGCTTTTCTTCAGTTATAAGACTCTGGTGTGAAACCGGGCAGTGGTTGGCGCACGCCTTTAATTCCAGCACTTGGGAGGCAGAGGCAGGAGGATTTCTGAGTTCAGCCTGGTCTACAGAGTGAATTCCAGGACAGCCAGGGCTATACAGAGAAACCCTGTCTCGAAAAACAAAACAAAGAAAAACAAGAATCTGGTGTGAAATGTAACTTGTGTGTCTAGGTAGGTTTTTTGTTTTAAGCCCTGCCTAGCAGCTCTTTGCGATGGTTGCCTTGTTTCCCACATAGTGGCAGTATCTGTGGGATGAAAGAAAAAACTGTATCCAATATCCACCAGCTCTCACAGATCTCTGCCCCGATTTCTGATTTCTGGCAAGGTGTGAAGTTTTGCTCGATTATAATCAGGTTGCTGTATTAGTATGCAAAAGCCATTATTAGCCTTTTAAAGTTAGGTGTGACGTCAGTTTAATCAATAAATACTTTGAGTGGGATAAATACTGTGGCCTTTAAGCCTTGTGTTAACTAATATAATATACACAGTGTCATTTTAAACTAAGTCTGTTTGGCATAGGCAGATGTTTACCAAAATGCTAACTTGTGAACTATGCCAAGTAGATATAATATGTAAAAACATTTATATCCTTATGAATCTTTATCTACTTAAACATGTGAACAACTCAAAATGAGGTAAAGTAAATAGCTGTGGACACACAACTATACCAGCTATACTTGGTTAGGCTCTGTGTGGTATACAGACATAAGAATGAACATTGTACAAAACTGAATGCTATTCACTCTGAAGAAAAATTAGAAGCTAGCCAGTAGCCGTGTACAGATGTGTGTAGAAGAGAAGGAGAGGCTGTATATTAGGGGATGTGAGGAAGGCAGGAATGCATGTTACAGCTATAAGCTGTGATAGGATGTAAAGCCAGTTGTTCTTGTAATCATGTTGTAGTTTGGTTTTGGTGGATAAATACATAAAATACATTCAACAGTGATATGCAAGCTATTGATACACTAATAGATGACTTGTGTTCTCAGCAACACCGATGTCACCTGTGATGATGTTGTGACTTTCTGTTGCAGTGAGAGTAGCATGTTTGTCTCCAAGAGACGTTTCATTTTGAAGACATGTGGTACCACCCTCTTACTGAAAGCACTGGTCCCCCTGTTGAAGCTTGCTCGGGATTACAGTGGGTTTGACTCAATCCAAGTAAGTGCTCAGATTGTAAAACTGCGTGCCTTCTGCTCTGTTCTGCTTGCATTTTAATGTTTTACCTCAAAGAATGGAATGTCACTAACATCTCAGAATTGGGTTTTTTTGCACCTGTGGTTGAGGTTGAAGCCAAGGCTTTACAGGTGCTAGTCAAATGCTCTGTCACTGAGCTGCTTCCTGCCACGTCGGGGGCTTTGCCTTTTTTGTTTGGCAGTACAGGATGTCGTACACTAGGCTGGCTTCCAACTCAGGCCTCCTGCCTTTCCTTGCAGGGCTGTGCATGTTACCACACGCAGCCTGCTCTGTGGGATGGGAAGTAGAGGGGTCTGGCTGTGGAGCCATGGTTCTTCTTGCTTTAGCTTCCCTAGTGCTGAGACTGGAGCTGTGACCACCGTGCCCACACTGGGGTAGTTTGGTGATGAATTACTCCCATCCCTGTGAGACATGTTGTAAAACATAGGCACTTTGTGTTGTTGGCTATTATAGGAAAACACTTGCCGTGCAATCTTGACATCTTGTTTTATCCCCAGAACCCACAAAAGGTGGAGAGAAGTGACTCCAAATTAGTCCTCTGACCTACACATGCTTGCACAATATATTTATCTATGTTATCCATAGTTTTACTTAACATATAGAAACCACTACTTGAAGCTGGATTGGTGGCTGCACACTTGCAGTCCCAGGAACAGTCTGGTCTGCTGTCCCTGTCTGCGTGTGTGTTTGATTTGTGTATTATGTATCCGAGTGGTTTGCCTACACGTGTATGTGCCTAGTGCCCATGAGGACGGCATAGGGCAGCAGATTCTGGGTGCTGGGCTTAGAGTGGGCTTGAACCTCCATGTGAATATGGGAATCAAACTTGAATCTTAAAGATCTCTCTCTTTCTTTTTAAGAGCTTCTTTTATTCTCGTAAGAATTTCATGAAGCCTTCTCACCAAGGGTACCCACACCGGAATTTCCAGGAAGAAATCGAGTTTCTTAATGCAATTTTCCCAAGTAAGTGAACCTAGAATTTAATAATTGTCATTTAGAGATGTAGGTGTTTTGTATTTGTTGTAATTTCTGAGATGGGTTTTATGATAGCCCGTGCTGATCTGGGTCTGGCCTGGAACTCCAGGGATTGTTTACACTGTTTGATAGTGTGGGTTTTTGTTGTTTTGTTTTTCTGTTTTCTGCTTACCTGGATGTTACAAAGATTTCAGACATTTTAGTTGTGTGTGTAAAAAACAGTACAAATTGTATTGTGCACTTATAAAAACAGTGGACAGAGTGTTGTGGCAAGTGGGGCATGTGCTTGGCATGAGACTGAATAGACGGAAGGGACAGATGCTTGAGGTTAACCAGATAGTGGACCAGATAGTGAGGACTTGGTTTGAAAACAGTTGCTGGGGAGATAGTGCAAGTAGTTGTAAGTTACTTGCTACACAAGAACCCAAATTTGATCTCCAGTACCTACAATTAAAATACAAGCCAAGGCAGCTGGGTATGGATGTGGTGGGGGGGGTGCTGATGCTAGGGAGGCAGGGCTGGTGGGCCCCCCAGCTCATACCCTAGCCCAGCCTGTCCTGCAGACTCGGGTACAGGGAGCTCACAGAGAGTGTGAACACACACACCGTGCATGCATGAGGCCCTGAATTTGATCTCAACACTGAGAACTAAGACTTCAGACCCTTGCAGTAATGACATCAACCACTACGTGCTGCCAGAGGGCTGGGCATTTACTTGGTGCCGATTCCAACTTGGCTTACTGGCCAAGGAAACTCTTGAAACCATTTGGGAAGGATGTGTAAACCAGTTTGGAGAAGTGAAGTTCCACACCCTGTAGGGCTTTTAGGAAGGTGAGCGTGATTTCCTCAATCATTAGGGTCCAGCTACAACTTCACGAGCACCAGTGGCAGCCAAATCAAATGCCTCTAAGCAAAGGCGGGATGCCAGTGTCATTTAAGCACTTGTTGCCCTTGCAAAGGACCTAGGTTTGGTTCCTGGTGCCAACATTGTTATGTATCTGCCCTCTTCTGACCTGTGGGCACAAAACACCATGTGGTACCTGCAGACTCACACACATGCAAACATCTTAAGACAGCAAAGGAGATGTTTCCTGTTAGAAGTCACTCTAATTTCCCTTCACTGACATTTCTGCTAGGGGGCATATGATACTGTTTGTTGAATGACTGATAGTAAGTCATCCTGTTACGTGATTTGTGAAAGATTTCTTTCCTCACAGATGGAGCAGCATACTGTATGGGACGGATGAATTCTGACTGTTGGTATGTAGTTTTGATTTGGGTTTGGCTATTGGCCTATGGGGGGCAGTTTTAGGGGAGAAGGGTGTTTTAAGCTAGACCTAGTAACCCATGCTTGTTAATCCTAGCTGTTCTGGAGGCTGAGGTAGGAGGAACAAGGCCAGTAAAGTCAACTTAGTGCCATAAAATAGAAAGGGGAAAGGGTCGGGGGTGTATTCTGTGTACCCTGTGTACTTATTAGCATGTGTATGGCCCTAGGATTGTCCCATGATACTCGAAGTGTTTTTAAAGCAGAGTTGGAATTTTGTAATTTTGTTTTGGGAGGCAGAGTTTCATTGCTAGCCTTGAACTCCGCTTTGTAGACCAGGCTATCGCTGTCTTTGCCTGCCTCCTGAGAGACAGCATTAATTAAAGTGTACTACCATGGCCATTGTAAAGTTGTTCATAAGTTTTGTTTGTTTGATCATGATTCATCTCTGACCCGTACTTTTCCCTGATGCCCACCTTCTTAACCTGTCATTAAAAAAAAACAAAACAATTTTAGCCAGGCGGCGATGGTGCAAGCTTTAATCTTGTGCTGTACTTTGGAAGTAAGGGCAAATGGATCTCTTGAGTTTGAGATCAGCCTGGTCTGAGTGAGTTCTAGGACATCCATAGCTAGCTACACATTGAAACGCTGCCTAGAAATACATGCATGCATGCGCGCGCGCGCGCGCACACACACACACACACACACAAACACACACTTCGATTCATTGCCCTTACCTGTACTCCTGGGTGTTTGGCCGTACACTAGAGTTTCATCAACCTGCCTTGAACTCTTAAAGAAAACCGACTCTTGAGAAGGCATTAGTTGTCCCTGTCTTTTCTGTTAAGATTGGGGGCTCATGAAGCACCTGCTTCCCACTACAGGCTAATAGTTGACTGGCTTGGTCTTCTGCAGGCAACTACAGCTGCTTTGAGCATGAGCATTATGAAGAGGGGGCATGGGCTTTTTGGGTTTTGTTTGTTTTTGTTTTTTTCGAGACAGGGTTTCTCTGTGTAGCCCTGGCTGTCCTGGAACTCACTCTGTAGACCAGGCTGGCCTCAAACTCAGAAATCCACCTGCCTCTGCCTCCCAAGTGCTGGGATTAAAGGCGTGCGCCACCACTGCCCGGCTGTTTTGTTTTTTAAGACTGGGTTTCTCTGTGTAAACTGTCGACTCTAAAGTAAACCTGATTTACTTCTACATAGGTACTTGTATACTTTGGATTTCCCAGAGAGCCGAGTAATCAATCAGCCAGACCAAACCCTGGAAATTCTGATGAGTGAGCTTGACCCAGCAGTTATGGACCAGTTCTACATGAAAGACGGTGTTACTGCAAAGGATGTCACTCGTGAGAGTGGAATTCGTGACCTGATACCAGGTTCTGTCATTGACGCCACACTGTTCAATCCTTGTGGCTACTCGATGAATGGGATGAAATCGGATGTGAGCGACTATTAGTCGAAATGCTTTCATGTTTGTATCTTCTCCTTTCTGTTAATAACTTTTATTTAATCTTAACTTTCTGTTACTTTTCTCTAAGGGAACATATTGGACTATTCACATCACTCCAGAACCAGAATTTTCTTATGTTAGCTTTGAAACAAACCTAAGTCAGACCTCCTATGACGACCTGATCAGGAAAGTTGTGGAAGTCTTCAAGCCAGGAAAATTTGTGACCACCTTGTTTGTTAATCAGGTACCTTGACTAGTGTTTTGTTGTCTCTTTCTTTGGCTATCCAGGGTCTTGCACTTCCCAGCCCGACTAGTGTGGCTGCTAGGAGCAGTGGAACCTAAGGGAAGCGATGGCCTTGCCACACATGTTGTCACTAAGCCATATGCCACAGGGCCACTCCCTGTGGCTGCTAGACAGAGAAACCTAGCATATTTCTTAGGTGTTTAGTGGTCTTGTTCTGTGTAGCACCCTAGTAAGCTCCTCTTCTGCTGATGCTCCCTGTTGACAACCCTGCTTCCAGCCCATACGGAAAAAGTAAATGAATAAACTGCCACGGTTTAGGTTGGAGGTGGGGGGGCTCAGCAGTTAAGAGCACTCGGCCTTATCTCAGCCCCTATAGCAGGTGACTTTCAAATGCTACAACGACAAAGAATTGTGTGCCCATTTTGCGCAGTGGCATATACATACAAACACACAAATACTTTAAATATTACTCTCTTAAAATGCATAGTTTTAAGATAATCATCTATGGCATTACTGTTTTGTCTGAAAATATTCTAGGTGGTCAGAATACTAATGCTTGTTTCAATTTTTCCCCAGAGTTCTAAATGTCGCACAGTGCTTTCTTCACCCCAGAAAATTGACGGCTTTAAACGTCTTGATTGCCAGAGTGCTATGTTCAACGATTACAATTTTGTTTTTACCAGTTTTGCTAAGAAACAGCAACAACAGCAGAGTTGATTAGGAAAAATGAAGAAGAAAAAACGCAAAAAGAGAAGACACACAGGAGGTGGTGGCTGCTTTCTAGATGTTGATCCTGGGGGCCATGCTGACCATGACCACCACCTTGTAGTTGCAGAAAGCCCTAGGTGTAATGATAGTGTGATCATTTTGAAGTGTATGCATTATTATATCAAGGAGTTAGATATCTTGCATGAATGCTCTCTTCTGTGTTTAGGTGTTCTATGCCACTCTTGCTGTGGAACTGAAGTGCATGTAGAAAAGAACTTTGGCTGTATGAATCTTTACGACACTTGTGAAAATGACTCGATTTGGTTTATGCACAGCGTAATATTTCTGCAGGCATCGTCCAAAATCCCCCACAGACAAGGCTTTCGTCCCCATTAGATGCGGCCTCAGCTGACCGTCTGCGACTGTTCTATTAAATTGCTACCAGAGTTTTTACATCTGGTTACCTCCACTTTCTAGAGCATATTCTCTGCTAATGTGATTCAGAACCAATTTTTACTTCATACAGGTGTTTTATGCAATGGCAATTAAAGTTTTTCTTCCACACATTGAGTCTTTGTAAGAAAATGATTCCAGTTGCTTGTTTTGTGTTCTACTGTTTTAATAGTTGCTCCTGCATTTACAGTCCTATGTTTTTTTTTTTTTTACCACCCCTGATGAAGCAATACACTGTTACACTGTGGGCTTATTATAATCTTACACCCCAGATGAGTTTGGAAAATGGTCCCTTGCTTAATTTTTTTCCTAAGACATAATAAGAATGTGGCCTTCTTATTGGCATGAACTTTTGTGGAAGATAAATGACAAAACTGAATGTATCAAGTGAAAAGAATTCAGTCTCTGGGGTGATGAGCAAGGAGAACCCATTAAAAAAGAAAACTCCATGGAAATGACAGGCCGTGTAGTGCACTTTAGTTAGCTTTAATGGAGTGTCTACCATGCCTTCACTAACTTACTAAGCAGTGATGGGAATGTCCACTAAGTCAAAGCAGAAAGTTAATCCTAAACATTCTGACCTCAGTAAGTGCCGCCATTGCCACCAGTCTAAAGGAGATCTTGATTCAAAGGAGAGTCCGTGGTTTCTGTTGATTCTGACATCGCCTGTTCTCTGGTCTTCCTTTCACCATGGTGTTAAGATCAAATGAATGGCTGACCAGAGGGAGGGCTCTCCAGGCTACTTGGCCAGATAGTGAATGTATGAATGGATGAACAATATTCTGAATCTATTTAATGGCACTAGAAATGTGGGCATTTGCAAATGCTGTGGGGTTTAAACAGAAAAGAGCAAACTGGACTACGCTCTCTATTTATTGCCCTCCTACTGTTTTCTTGGTAGTTTCTGGACTGACACAGTGATGTTTTGTTCCTTCCGTATTTATAATGAAACACTTTTTTAGCGTTTCTAAATGTAGAATCTACTTGGTTTGAAATCAAGTGGTTGGAACACTGATTTTTTTTTTACTTTATACATGGTGTTGATTGAATGCTTCATTGGGGAAGCTTTCGGTCAGCTTTATCAGTCTTGATTCTGTAATGAGCACAGCACCTATTTTGAATTGCTATTTGGAGGACCAGTGCTTATTTAAGCTGGATTTTGTAACCCAGTAGGTTTTGGCTTGAGGTCTGTTTCCCCCATCTTATAAAATTAAGAATTCTAATGTTGAAAATTGCATAGGTTTGTGTGGAACAAAGCCTAGAGAAGAGACTGTAGGTGGACTAGTGATCTAGTGTAATTACAGGCGGGGAAGTTTTGGTGCCATAATTTCTCTTTGTTGGTGTTGGACTTTTAATCAGCTGAAATGTATTTCTGTACCACAATGTAAGCTTCAATAAAAGTTTGCTTAATTGTCTAGCAACATTCAGAAAGTTTTGTGTTTGGTGTCTACTTAACCAAAACCCAGAGAATTTAAAGCATTTGAAGGTGGAAGTGACAACCTTAAGCCATCAGCAGAGGCTTTGTGTGCAGTGTTGTATTGAAGTTTGGCAAGTACTCTACCTAGGTGTCTAGTAAGTGGAAAGTAGGCAGGCAAAAATACTATGATTTTTGTCGAGATGGGCTTATGTTAGAAGATACTTTGCTGATTTTCTGTTTAAGAAAAGGGTATGGGACTTAGAATTACTCTAGGCTTGAAGTAGCCTGAGGCAAGAGAGTCTCTTGAGCCCTATACCTGTGTATATGTACCACCTCCTAGAGAATAGACATCCTAGTTTTATCCTCTGGTAAAAATATGTGCTACTGATTTCTTTTCTGGCTCCCCACTGTCTTGCTGTAATGGAAGAGGTGCTACGGGCTCTGCTTACATCCTGTCCCTTCAGAGACTGTCCCATGAGTTGCTTGTGTTTCAGTTGTGTTCTGTACTTTCCTGACTTCTATCTCCTTTGATCAGTCAGAAAGTGTCTGCTGGTTCTTGTGTGATAAGTGATCGGAAGGCCGACCAATTGCTGTTAACTTTGACAAATCAAAATTCCCCAAAATGTACAGCTGTCTGGTTCTGGTGACATCAGCAACTTTGACCTGTACAGATTCTAAGTGGCCTTACATGAATATGTGCAAGTAGCTGGGACACGGTCTGAGCCTACACTCACTGCATTGAACAATGGAATGGTGACCGGGCTTGGTTAGTGAAGACCATGGCTGCCAAGGCTGACCTAAGTTAGAGGACCAGCTACCACAAACTTCCAACTCAACATGTTGGGAAGTGTAAGTGTGCAGTAATGCTGACCATAGGGCCAAGCCCAGATGCATAAAGAATAAAAGTGCCAAGTGTATAAAACTAAACTGCCCTTTGGCAGACAAGATTGCTGAAATGATATTGAAGAAAGTGAAAATGTAGACTTGAAAGGCACTGGGTGCTTGGTGAGTTAGCTGGGAGGCTGCATGGTCAACATGAGGCGACAGCAAACGGAATGTGCTCTGAACAGACAGAGAAACCAGCGTGTCAAAACAATTTTAAATTCTAGTCCTCTCTACAAAAAGCCCCTCGACACATCAAGAGGGATGATGTCAACACACACAGCACTGGCTGTTCTTCCACAGGACCCAGGTTTGATTTCCAGTACCTACAGCAGCTTGTAACTGTCTTAACTCCAGCTCCAGGAGATCAAAAGGCCAGTCTGGACTTCTCAAGTCTAGTCTCTCTAATGCAGAAAAAGCCTTTGCAAAGTGTAACCTGCCTGGCAACAGACTATGCAGTGGACCTATAGCAACATACTAAAGGGAACAGTACAGGGGTACCTGCTCTGTTCAGTCTTACAGGACACCAAGATGAGAGACCTACCAAAAACTCCCATCATAAGGCAGCAGCAGGGTAATCTGAGGTTGAAACTACCTTGGTCTCCATAGCGCCAGGACGACTACACAAGGTGACCTCACCTTTGATCTATGGAGGCAGAGGCAAGCAGATCCAAGTTCAAGGCCAGCCTGTTCTACAGAGCAAGTTCCAGGACAACCAAGATTCCTGTCTTGAGGAAAAAAATCAGGATTTGTTTCTTCTCTAGACAGGGTCTCTTATGTGTTCCCCTCTTTAATCTGCTGGTATCAAATGTATGTGCCACCATGGCCAGCTGTTACAAATTTTCCATTCACAATGACTTAAAACTACCACAATAGAGACCAGCCTGGTCTACAGAGTGAGTTCCAGGACAGCCAGGGCTATACAGAGAAACCCTGTCTCAAAAAAACCAACTACCACAATAAAACAAGGGCTAGAGAATGGCTTCCCAGTTTAGAGCACTGGCTGCTCTTGCAAAGCACCCAGGTTCAGACAGACCCAGCACCTGTATCAGCTGTGTCGGCTGTCTGGAAACTCAGTTACAGCGAACCCAATACCCTCTTATGTGGACTGCATACATATGGCACCATGCACATATGTAGGCAGCGCATTCATACAGATAGAATCTTTCCTATATAATATGTTTTTAATTGAAAGAGAATTACATTACCCCTCTGGACCCTCCCACAGGTTGATACTGTTTCTTTGATTATTGTTATATACATAGAAACTCCACACAATGTTTCTGTGCTTCTCTCATTGTAAATTGGGAAGTTTGGAACTGATGAGCTAGGCCAAGATGGTAGGCCCATGGCTGAGTGTGGTGGTGCAGTCCCTGAGTTTCAGCACTTGGGATCTTTTTAAGTTTGAAACCAGCATTGGCTGGGCGGTGGTGGCACACGCCTTTAATCCCAGCACTTGGGAGGCAGAGGCAGGCAGATGTTTGAGGCCAGCCTGGTCTACAGAGTGAGTTCCAGGACAGCCCGGGCTACACAGGGGAACCCTGTCTCGAAAAAAACAAAAAAAAAAAAAAAAAAAAAAAAAAAAACAAAAAAGAAGAAGAAAAGAAACCAGCATGGCTTACATACCAAGGTCTAGTACAACTAAGGGTACATAGAGACACTGTCTCGAAGTGTGTGTGTACCTAAGGGTTTCTATTACTGTGAAGAGGCCATGACCATTGGTAACTCTTTAAAAGATTTATGTATTTATGTCTATGATTGCTCTGTCTTAATGCACACCAGAATGGGAATCAGATCCCACTACAGATGGTTGTGAGCACAGGATCTCACTTTGTAGCTCTGGCTGGGTGGAACTCACATTGTAGACCAGGCTGGCATCAAACCACAGACCTACTGATGTACCTGTCTGTACTCTGCCTTTGGAGAGTCAGGACTAAAGATGAACACCACTGTGCCTGTTGCAAACATTTCTAGATGCAAAGACTGAAAACAAGGGGAGAGATGGAGGCGGGCATAGGGGTTGGTGAGGGGGTCATTGTCCTGGCTTTTGTAGGTCATACTATTCTGATGAAGCAGGAACAAGTTCAACAAGTTTGCAGGCAGAGAAACTGTACTAGTAGAACATTTTAGATACATTTTATAAGTTTGTATTTACAAAAAATGACATTAAAATGCATGTGAATTTAAAAGTGTGAAAACATCCACTTCTCGAGAGAGCAGTTTTGGTCCCTTACATGCTCAGAGTCGATCTTCCGGTTTAAAGCAATTGGCAGATGTGTCGGTATCACAGAACTACAGCTGCTTTGCCGTCTGGCCTTTCTTGTATCAGGAAGTTAGGCTCAATGAGCCCCTCATCTAGTGATCGAGTAAGTGTTGTGTGGTCTCTAAGGATACATCATTACCTGCTTCAAGCAAGATTGCTGTTGAGATCAAGCTGTGTTCCAGGCTGTACCCCACCCCAAGTTACTCCATATTGAATAAAACGTGGCTTTCCAGGCTGTGCGTGGCCCCCCCCCCAGCAGAGATGGGTAAATGAGTTTATTCATGGGAGTGAATCGTGCTCACCCTATACGTTTACTGGGGTGAATTTAGGCTGTAGGGATACGAAGGTGTACTAGAATCATATCCGAAAAAACAGGCGGAGAACTCGCCAGTCACACCAGATCCTGGAAAGGATGTAACGCTCCCTCACCTGGCCCTAAGTGACACTGTCTTAGCACAGCCCCCACACAACCTGTCACCAACACCTGTTGTGTGCGGAGGACTGACGACTTCCCACTCATCTGTGTCCCCCACAGTTGATTCGGCCTCCTCAGCGGCCTGCCTATCACCCACTCCCCAGTCAGGGCTTGGACAGGAAAGGCTCTCTCCTACTCTGAACCTAGTTCAGCTTTTCCACCTGCAGCTGGCCTCAGTGACCTTGCTCTTGAATCCAGCTCCAGCAGTACCAGTTAAAGGCCCCTCCTGGCTCTGGTCTGACCGACAGACAAAGCAGCTGCAGGCTTTCTAACTTGTATTCAGTCCGTGAGTCACACACATGCAGACATGCTTACTGTGTGGTATGGTGTGAGAATTAATACTAGTAATTAAGATTGCTGTTAAAGAACCGGTGTACAAGAAGGATAGGGATTGAAATGAAGCAGAGATTGAAGGACTGGCTAACCAGTGAATGGTCCAACTTAAGACCCGATCCATGGGGGAGAGCCGATCCCTGACACTATGCTATGCTTGCAGACAGGAGCCTAGCGTAACAGTCTTCTGAGGGACTTTACTCACACAGATGTAGCAGGTGTGCAGTTTGGTCTTCATGTGGGTGCCCTAACAATTAAAGCAGGGACTGTCTCTGACTGTTGCCTGCCTTTGAGGGCTGCCTTGTCTGGCCTCAGTGAAGGAGGATGGTATTAGTCCTGCTGTACCTTGATGTGCCAGGGTCGGGTGGTACCCATTGGGGAAGCCTCCCTTTTTTCTGAGGAAAAGGAGATGGGAGAAAGGGGGAGGGTGTAAGGGTGAGACTCGGGGACAGGAGGGAGGGAGGCTGTGATCAGACTGTAAAGTGAATAAATAAATTAATGAGAAAAAAAAAACTGTATTCACCTTAGTTAGGCTACCAAGGTAGGTGGGATTATGTGACAGTTACCCTTAAAAATTCTGATTTTCAGCTGGGCATCATGGTGCTTGCATTAATCCCAGCACTCTCGAGGCAGAGGAAGGCAGATCTCTGAAGTAGAAACTTCTGGTTTATGGAAGGTCAGTTATGTCAAATGAAGTTTTGCTGGGGCACTCAGGTGAAAGGATGCGTGATGTTAAGGACTATAAATAAAACCCAACAGACAGTGGACGACGTATTAGTAGGCTTTACCATTCCTTACTGGTCATCATTTGTCGTGACTTCATAGGAAGAAACACACCAAACAGCTTCTGGTGGTGTTCTGGCAGCTTCTTACCGCTTCCTCAGACTCGGGGCAATTGGCAGAGTGAAGTGGAAGTTTCTGGGTATGTCAACGAATATAGACTCACGTGGTTGGGCAAGACCCATGGGAGGACATGTGATGTTTGGAGGGAGTATAAATAGGACACAACCGACAGTGACGTAGTTAGCTTTGCAACACTTTGCTGGTCTTGAGTCTTCATA